ATTCAACTTGAGCTTCTGAAACTCACGCACGGTGCTGAGCACTGCCTTGGTGAGCTCGCTCCGCACGCGCTGCCTGGACCCCACGACGCGCTCCGACAGGTCGTCCACCCAGATGCGCTCTGACATCGTCGGGTGCGCGACCGAGAGCTTCTTGCACGCGAACGCCGTGAGGCACTTGGCAAACCTGGTGCCGTTCCTCGACCCCTGGGCCACGGACCTGGACGCCTGGTGCGGTAAAGACACCGCATCTAGCTGCGCCAGCAGCCGCGGTGCTAAGAACATCTGCACTTCTAAGAACAACACCGTGGGCGGAAAGCCCTTCTTGAGGGCGCAGGATGCCAGCGCTGCCATCTCGATCCCGTCGTAGAAGGCCTCGACGTCCAGCAAGGCCTGCCCGTGGGGCATGTGCATCGCCGACTGCACCTCGTCCTCGAGCGCCCTGACGAACGCCTCCCTCAGGGCGCTGTTGCCAGCGATGGCGGCGTCCCAGTAGTCGTCCTGGTCGGTGACCCAGTCGCGGACGAGGTCCTCCCTGGCCATCGACCATACACGACAGAGCATGGGCAGGAGCCCTATGCACCTGTCGCCGCCCGACTTCTTGCCGAGCAGGCGGCCCAGCACGCACATGACCTGCCACGGCCACGTCAAGCCCTCCTCGACCATGCGGTAGAGGTCGCAGAGCTCGCGGAGGCCCTCGTCGGGCAGGCGCGCGAAATCCGTGGGCGATAGCATGTCCACGCCCATGCCCGCTCTCGCCTTCATCCTGGCGAGAGCCTGCCTGATGTCCAGCACGGTGAGCGGCTCCAGCTGCTCGGCCTGGGCGGGCTGGCGGATGAGCTCGCACGCCTGGAGGATGTCCTCGTAGGAGGCGCCGCTGGACTGCCACAGCGAGTGCCAGCGCTGCACCTTCCTGTCGATGATGTCCACGGGGCGGATGAGACTGCACCCGTCCACGTGGAGTTCGTCCTGCTCTGGCAAGGGGTCTTTGATCGACCGATGAACTGCTCCCGCAGAGTCGGAGATCCAATCCTGAAAACTCCTCAACGAACCTGAAGCTGCCTTGTTCTGAGCACGCCGCGCTGAGCGGAAGGTGACTTCCTCCAGCGCCTCGAGCTCCTCGGTGGACAGCTCGGAGAGGCTCCTGAGCCCGCGCAGCACCCCCCTCCACGACCAGGAAGATCCTCCTGCGAGAGTAGCCCCTGCGCCGTCCCCAGGCTGATCTGCCAGCCTCTGCGCCGTGGCGCTGAAAGATTGTAGCTGTAGGGCACCGTTTCGCCGCCGACGATGCCTCAACGCTTGCTTCACGATGGTGTGGACTCTCGCCCACCAGGCCGCTACTCCGTCGTCGCGTAGCGGTGGCGGTCGTATGTGTAGCGCCTGCTTCACTGGAACCACTGCGACGCCGATCCCTGTCCCTCGCGAGCGACAAGGAGGCGCGAGCCCGTGGTGCTCGGATATGGCCGACTCCGCGATGCTGATCCAACGGGCGAAGCAGCTGCTGACTGGTAGAATGTGCTGGCGGCCTGCGGCGAAAGCAATGGAGTATCGCACTGGCCGCCAGACGTCTGAAAGCGACTGTGAGTGCCAAACGGCTTGAGCCGAGTGCGACGCCCACAGAGAGGAAGGGAAAGCGAAATTGGGCAGGACAGCATCGGCAGCAGCAGCGGAGCAAGTGATATTATCCTGACCCCCAGCCGTGCTGGGCCCCCCCTCCCCTGGCGGCTCGGCTGAAGTGGACTGCTGATCCCCCGACCCAACTCCGGCGCCACCCACTCTCGAAGCGGGCCCCAAGACCGAGCTGCGTTTGCTTGATTCGGGGCTCCCAGGACTGGTACTGTTGGTGCCTGCAATGACGCCTACTGGGTGAAAGCACGACTCCGAAGCCCAGGGGCCCTCCTCTTCCCACTCTTCAAGCTCCCCTGGGTCACGACCCCTCGCGGGGCAGTCCCCTGCGGGAACACTAGCCTCGGGGCCAGGAGATTCGGAGATTTCGGACCCCTCGGAAACGAAAATCTCGGAGCCCTCGGATTTGTCCCTGGAGAGCAAATCAGAAAAAAAAGCTTGTCGCACTCGCTACGTAAACGCTCCTGTGCTAGCTGCGCCCGCTCCTTTTGAAGGGCGCGGGCTCTGCTGGCCTTAGATCCCTCCGCGTGGCAAATCGATGGCCTAGGGACCTGAGGCAGACGGGGGGCGGAGATGAGGGGGCGTGTGAGGAGCTGCTCGCCCGCGCCGCGCAGCCTAAGCTCGAGCGCACAGCGCGGGCCCCATGGAACGTCTGTTCTGGCGGACAAACTGTGAATGTAGGGGAGCCCGCTCTCGGGCGCCATCAAGAAATCGATGTGCGAGCTACCTGCGCCCCCGACGCACGTGTATTCGATATCGGCCTGACGGATGCGTCCGTGTACCCTTTTCACAAAAGCAGAGCGCCTAAACGCCGAGAGATCCTGATTGAAGTCTCCCAGCACGATCCAAGGGAGCAGCACTGACTGCAAAAGCGCGCCCAGTCGCGCATGCCTCTGCGCATTGGCGCCCGTGAAACCGAGCGACGGGTGCGCGTAAAAAGGATAATTAGGGTACTGTAGCCTTGCATGTGGACCACTGCGGGGAGGAACCCGTCGAAAGAACTGGACCCATCGGCACAGAACGCGGCGGCCTCAGACGTCTTGCCGCACAGCCAATTAACGTTGCGATGACCTGGCGCGGGAAGGACTTCCCCACCTTCGTTCGCCTTGGCCGCCCCTGCTGCTGACGTGCCCCGTCCAGTGCTGCGAGCTGCATTGCCCAAGTACTTCCACCTCATCGATCGAGACCTCCTCGCCCACTGCGCACTGGAGTGGCATCCCGCGTGAGTCTCAACCATCCCAACGAGATCGCACTTGTCTAAGAACTCTTTGCACCCGATGTGGCCCCAAGACTTGGGCCCGAGGCACGTGACATTGCTGAAGAGATAGGTGATGACGCCGTCGGCGCCGTACTCTGCTTCGTGGGGTAGTGCACCTGCGGTCGCATCCTGAGCTCCGCTCGGTGCCGACGGCCGACTCCCTGACGAGGCCGAGGGCGCCGTCGAACCCTCGGCGGGAGCTGGAGCTCATGCCGAGGGCGCCGCCGCCGACGCCGCGGGCGCCTGCTCCTGCAAGCGCGCCGCGGCCTCCTCGGCGGCCTCCCTCGCCTGCTTGATGCGCTGCATCTCGGCCTGGACTGCCTCCTCGGACGGTCCCGCCGCGCCTGCCTCCGCCGTCGGCGTGGCGGCCGAAGCCGCGGCGCCCGCTGGGGAGCCCCCTGCGGCTGCCGAGGCGGCGACTGGCGTCTGGTCGTTGCCGTCCTGCGCGGCCTCCGTCTTGCGCTTCTTCTGGATGCGCTCGTGGATGGCCTGCTTCATCTCGCTGATCTTCGCCTTCCAGGAGGCGATGTCGGCCGACTTCGTCGCCAGGTCCGTCTTGGTGGCGATGAGGTCAGCCTCGAACTTCCTGAGGGCGTCCTTCTCTGCCTGCTCGCACTCGACGTTGTCAAGGCTGGCGAAGAACTCCGTGTCCCACGAGAGGTCCACGAACTCCGCTCTGGCGGGGCCCCCGCCGTTGGCGCTGCCGCTGCCGCTCGTGTTGATGCCGAGCTCCTTCGCCAGCGCCGTGGCCGCTGCCCTCTTGCCGATCTCCGCGGCCGCGAGCACCCGCAGGTTCTCGGCCTCCTTGGCGAGGGCGCGGTCCAAGTTCTCGCGGCACCTCTTCACGTGTGCGGCGGACTGCTCGTACTTAAGCGATGCGTCTCGCCAGGCGCCCTCTGCCCTCTTCACGGCCTCTGCTGGCCGCTCGAGTGACGGGGCTGCCGTCGACTTGGCCGACTGCTCCGCCTGGCGTGCCTGCTCCTGCAGTTCCCTCTTCTTCACGGGGTCCTGCTCGATCTTGCTAGCCTGTGCCAGCAGACTGGAGACTGTGAGGTTGCCCTTCATCGCCCCTTGGAGGCTGGGCTGCTGGTCTTCCGTCTGCTGGTCCTTGAACTTGCGTGCCTTGTGCAGCTTCACGGGCGCATTGCACTTGCGGCACTTCAGCTCTGCTTTGATAAGCACATCATTGTACTCGCTCGTGTTGCAGCGCTTGCACGTAGACCAAGCACGTGACATGGCTGCTGCTGGTCGAACCTCTCTTCGCCAGCGGGACTGCTCACAAAACTGGAAGAGTGAGAAACCCGCTGCCCCTCAAGCACTGCGCGGAAGTGAAAGGCCTCGGCACGGTGCAAAATGCTCTCGTGCCGATATTGCTTGAGAGGAGGAGGGGGAGGAGGAGGGGGAGAGGGAGGAGGAGTAGGAGGAGAAGGAGGAGGAGGAAACGGGCGCGGCGGCAGCGCGGCGGCTCTCGGAGGGACGATCGGACAACCACTTATAGCAGCCCCGATACGCAACACGCAAACCGCAGCGTGTCGGCACGGAGCTCAACACGCAGATCGAACACGTCGGTTGGGGCGATACGTTCGCCAAAACGTGGGCCAATACAATGAGCCAATACGCAGCGTGTTAACACGAACATGTTTGAACACGGCACATGTTGCGTTTCAAAACGGGCGTATCAGGGCAACTAAGGAGAGCAACTCACGGAAGCTGTTGTCCGTCCCCATCTCGACCAATAGCAATATCGCCACATGGCGACATTGGGCGCCGTGTGGTCGCTATCGGGCGCCACTTGAGAGCGCCATTCTGCGCCACTGGGCACTATTGAACCCTGTTCGACGCTATGAAACGCTATGTTTAGGTCGGGCCTGTCCCCCTACAGGGGGATGTTGGGCGAAACATCAAAAATACGGTGAAAAAAACACCAAACATGACCCAACATACTAAAAAAAACATGGCCCCCGACTGTTGATATATCATTGTTTGGATATCCCTCCCGTATAGGGACAGGCCCGACTTGATGCTGTTTGCCCAAAATCCATGACGAGCAGGAGCTTCCGTGGCTTCCTCCCCGAGCTCTTGGAAGGGACGGGGGCGGCCGCGGAGGCAGCGCTGCGGCCTCCCGAGGGCGCTGGGGCCCAGCAGGCAGGCGTGCAGCTCGAAGCCGGCGAGCTCGCCGGGCACTCCCGCGGCCTGGCGCCCGCTCTGCTGGCCGCCCTCGGGGGCCCCGCCTCCCAGTCTCCGAGGAGCTCGGGCCACGAGTCCGCCGACCCCCGCCTGCCCGGGGGGTGGGGAGGCGTGCGAGACAGATTCGGCGGTCCCCCCTTATCACCCTTGCCTGCTGCCCAGGAGCACGGGATCCCAGAGTCGGAGGGGGGCCAGCTCCCTGGCGCATCTCCGAAGCCCTCCGAACCTCCAACTCCACTCTCGGACGCCTCCAAGATAACTCGGATGCCGAAGATGGTTCAATATAGCCTCCGCCTTCCCTCCGAGAAGCCGACAGAGGGCCATAAGACGGAGCCCCTGGGGCCCTCACAGGACCCCCCCCAAGAGGCGAAAATCGTTCCAAGACCTATGGAGAACCAATGATGTGTGAATTCTCGCGGTTTCGCGTCCAGTGGGCTTCTCGGGTCTCAAGATAGCCCCAAGATGGCCCTGGAGTGCCCCAAGAAGAGGAGCCCGAGAATGTCCAAAGATAGCCCCAATATGCCATGTGTCAGCCTCCAACATCGCCCTTGGGGCAAAAGATCGCCACACGAGAGCCCCAAGACTCCCCCCAAGAGCCCCCCACGAGGGACCACAGGACCCACCGAGAGAGTCCAAAGAGGGCATTCAGAGGGCCCCGAGAAAGCCCCAGTAGGATCCCAAGAGTGCCCCAAGAAGACCCCAAGATGGCCCTCAGAGTCTTCCAAGAGGCTCGAACAACAAACGATCCAGGAAGATGTCCTTCTCCTCCTTCCTCCTACCTGACCCTGGCGACTTCCATTGACTCCTCGCCTCTTCTGGGGGTCGGCGGACTGGCGTAAGCCATTTGAATAATACGATTTCTTCGTCACTATATTCGTATACCCGCCACCGCGCTAGCGGTAAGCTGTGGCAACTCAGGATGCTCCTCTGATGCCTGGTAAGGTTTCCTTAGCCGACCCCTCCCCCTCGATCCACGTATGGTTCGAACATCGTACTCTCTGAGTTTGCTCTCTGCCGCCCTTTTCGGCCGCACGACAGCGAAACGACCAGCTACCAATATTCCAAAGCGGTAACAGGAAGCACCGAGACCACCCCAAGACTGCCCAAAGGGCCCCAACTGATCCAAGATGTCCACAAGAGATCCCAAGAGCAAAAGAAGACTCCAAAAGACTCCCAAATAAGCCTCCTACGAAGTCCGAGGAGGCGAAAGTCATTGGAAGACCTTGAGAGAATCAATGAGTTTTGCTCGCGATGCCGCTCGACTAGAAAGCTTCAGAGAGCACTGCGAAGCCCCCAAGACGGCCCAAAACTGCCACAAAACAACACCCCGATGGCCCCAAGACTACACGAGAAATCTCCAAACCGGCCCAAGAGGGCTCCCAAATTGAGGAAACGAGGCCGAGTGCAAGACCCACGCACGTTCAGACCACGTGTGGAACTGGCGTAGGCTTTGAACCCACCCTAAGACCGTCCGAAGACGGCCCAACGAGTGTCCAGAGACTCCAAGATCTGCACAACTAGCCCCAAGAAGCCTCCACGAGACGCTCCAAGATACCTCCAGCGAGGCCCGAAGAGGAACAAACCATTGAAACAACACATAAACATGAAAGTGCTTTCCTACCGAGATCTCTCTTCTTCAGCTCAAATAGGAAGAAATTAAGAGAGCCCCAGACAGCCCCTGTGACGACTAACAACTGACCAAACTGAGCACTACGATGACTCAAAATAGACGAGCGCATTGCACTACTCGCAAAATAACTACCCGCAAATGGACTGTATGCGCCGCGGGGGTCTACGATACATTACATCGAAACAGACATGAGTTTTTCGGACGTTTGCTGTAAGCACTTTTGTCACCAAGCACGTTCCACGTGGAACGCGATTGGTGACAAAAGACTGCCCGAGAACCCTCGAAAACTCGAAAACTGCCCAAGGGGGTCCCAAGGGCGGCCCAAAGACAGGAAACGAGGTCGAACTTATACAAGACCCACTCGAGTTCAGGCCGCGCGCTGAACTGCCGTGGATCTTAAAACCAACCTCCTTCACGCTGCGCTGCTGCGCTGGCAAGGTGGCGGGGTTTGCCGGAGGCAGCTGGATATCTACCAGACTGGCCTAAAAGAATATTAATGTCTGCCCTGGCTACTCCCTCACAACCCGCATTGGCTTACGAGCCCGCTCGCGCTTGACATTGCAAAATTTCTAGCAGTCTTCTCCCAGCAAACCGCACAATGGTTCGGGTCTACCATGAGCGTATAAGACAGCGATGGGGTGCCTGCGTGAAGATAAATGGCACGGGCGGAGACGCAATACATCTTTCATGTTTGCAAGAATAATGAGCGCTCGTTTTGGCCAGACATGGACGGCCAGAAGATTTGAATATGCGTGGACACTTTGCGCAAACAGTCCACCAGACCAGCGGAGCACGAGCAAGGAAGTCCAAACCGCCATGGAAAAAAACAGTGCCGCGTGTGTCGCCCGAGGGGCGCACCATGGCCACCAAGGTGGAAAAACCAACAAGGACGCACCGAGAATTGGTAACCTGGGGCCAAGCCTGGGAGCCTGCGTGGCTCGCGCTGTCCTAGCATCTGCTGCGTCGTGTTCGCTCGATCCACTCGCAGACGGGGGATGTAGGAAAGTGTGGCTCGTGATTTCCTACAACTTTTGGGCTCAACATCACCGTACCGTTGGGGGAGCCTGGGGCCAGGGAGCCCGGGGCCAGGGAGCAGGGACACACGCGCCGCCCCCACGCCTGCAGCTCAGGCAGCTGCGAGCAGTGCCCCGCCCCAGCGCCGCCGAAGTCCGCCTGGCGGGCGGCGCGGCGGGAGGGGCAGAAAAAGCGGCAGGGGAGGAATGGAACATGTGGTACAGACACAAGGAGGAGGAAGGGCACAGGAAGGACGAGGACGAGGGAGGAGGAGGGAAAAACGAGCAGGGAAAAGGCAAGAGTTCGACAACGCCGACCGTATACCCAATCATTTTGATACACGCTGCTGCGCGCGTTTGCGCCAGCACGGGCGGAAGCGCGCGCCGAATTGGTTTGGTGCACGGATGACGCCGTCCATAGGAGGAGGGGGGAAGGTATGAGGTGAACGCTGACGAGGAGAGATGAGGAAGGAGCAGGGCGCAGAAAAAAAGGACAGAGGAGGGGAGAAGGTAATATAGGTAAGTTCAGGGCGCTTGGGGGACACAAGCCCTACCACTAGGACGAAGCAGGACCTCTGCGTGAGCTATGATGGATGGAGGACGCCCCACTTGTAGACGAGGGCATGCATGCCTGACCAGAGAGGCGGGGCATGTACCCTAGCCGCCGAGGCGTCGACGGATGGACACTCCGATGCTGCTGATAATACGGCATGCAAGAGAGAAAGAGCGAGAGAGGTAGAGCAAACCCACGCGGCGCACACCCCCTCCCAGGATCCGTACAACGGGAAAGACAAGCTAACTGAATTGGATGTTTGGAATATCAGTACCTGCACACCGTTCCTTGTACACCTTTTTTTGGAATCGCTGTGGGATTTCGGACCACGCAATGCCCAGCCCGTCGGATCACAATCACAAATGGTCGGACCACGTGTTGTCCAGCCGTCCATTTGTCGAATGGTAGGTGGTGAGGGGGTGCTCCTTCCGCTGTCGTTGTTTGTTGTGTTGTTTTTTTCTCTCTCTCTCTCTCTCTCTCTCTCTCTCTCTCTCTCTCTCTCCTCGCTGATGACTGTCGGCACGGGGCACGGGCATCCTGGCACTTCAAGATCGGGCGCAAACGGTGGGCGGGCGGCGGGCGTGGCTGCCCCACCCCCCTCTCCTCACCCGATTGGCCAGCCCGCGATCTCCTCCCCGACCAGACTCATCAACCCCGCGACACCTCAGCCGTCTTGTCCTGTGCTTGTTGGAGCAAGTCTAACCGAGGCGGCACTTGTTGGAAACGCTCCCGACACAGATGATGGGAAGGAGGGGAAGGAGGGGGAGGAGGAGGAGGAGGAAAGCAGGGAAGCACTGAAGAGAAAGCGTCTGCTCACAGACACCACTCTAGGAGGGAAATTGAAACGCCCAAACCGTCAGTCACCCAGCGAGTGACTTCCCAGTCTTGGGGTGCTTGCCCCTCAAGAGAGCACTGAGGACTGACCTCCTGCTCTGGGGCAAGCCTTTGGGGTCAGGACAAGGGGGGTTAAAGCCCACCCCCACCCTGACGGACCCATCGGCCCCGCACCGCCGACACCATACGACCGTACCCGTGGCGGTGACGTCGTGCCCCCCAGGCGCGCGACGCCTCTCCGCCACCGCGGGCTCCCCAGAGCCCGCGGCACCCCCAACAGGAGCCCCAGCCTCGCCCTCGCAGGCAGGCACAGGCCCCTCCCGCACGGCCCCCTCAGAGGCCGAAGACGCCGAGCCCCCAGGCCCAGCCACCACGGAAGCCCCAGCCCCGCCCTCGCGGGCAGGCACAGCCTCCCCCCCCCCCCCAGAGCGCCCCAGCCGAGCAACCAGCCGCACCGACCCAAGCCCAGCGGCAGCAGGAACCGACCCAGCCGAGGCCCCACCCCCACGGGCACCCACAAGGCCACCGGGCGCCCCCCCCCCCCTCCCCCCACAGAACCCCAACGCGCCGTCGGCGGCCTCGCAGCGGCGCTGGCGGCAGCCTCGATCAGATTCGCCTGCATTCGGGAAATCGCAGAAGGCACACGCCGTCGATCAGTGCCTCCTGTCAACTGCCTGCGAGCCGCGGCGGTCTTCGCAGTGCGGCGGCATCTTCGACGCATGAGCCCCCCGCGAATCTCGACGAGGTCATGCTCATGCATCAGCAAAACCACGCCAGCTCCGTTAGACATGGGAGTCCTGATCGGGGCGGGCGTCAGAACGGCCTTCTCGGACCACAGCTCGAGCTGTCAGCTTCTCTGGGCCGCCCAAGACACGTACTTGGCATGCTGGGCAGCCCCTTGACAGCGACCCCTTATAGAACCTAGCGTGGGCCTCTGGGAGCTTAACCGAGAGGGCTCCCAGCTTAGCGAACAAATCCGCCCAGCTATTCCCCGCGACCCAGAGGTAGGGGGGAGGCGGAGGGTCCTCAGGAGCGGGGAAGAGAACCTCATCCTCGGTCCTGCGGGGCGGGACCCATGCAAAGGCAGGCGGCGTTCTTTTCAGCGCCACGAGCTGGCGCCACACTGCAGGGCATGCTCGGCTGGCATCGGCGCGGGCGTCCTCCCCTCCTTGGCCCCACAGCTTGCCTTCCTGCACACATTCCAACAAATCAGAAATAACGCATTGGACCGAGGGCATATGCTGGAGGGCCTTGAGGCCCGCGACCCGCTCTGCGCGGCCTACGGTCTGCTGCGCGCCCGCGAGCCCGCCATGCAGCGCACGAGTGGGGACTCCATTGGCATTCAACATGACCGCAGACCATCCACACCGACGGAGCTCAGGATACTCGTTGTGGTATCCCGAGCCATCGGTAAAAACACAATCACTCCACAGTTCGGGATCCGACTCCCAATCTCCCCAAAAGAAGCATGGGGGCGACTCAGGAGGCGGCGGCACCTCAATCATGGGCCACCTAGGGATCCCGACCGAGAGGGCGAACAAATCAACATCCTGGCGGCCCTCTCCAATCGGCCCATGCTCCAACATGGTGTCGCGAGCTGCGGCCAACTTGGGATCGAGACCACAATCCTCCTCATCATCCAACAAACGCTGTGTGAGCGCTGGGCATTCGACGAAGCAATGGCCAAGCGTCTCGGCCTCATGCGGGCGCGCTCGACATTTCTGATCATCACAAATTCCTTTGCTATTCAACTTAACTTTTTGGCCAGAGGGAGCCAGACCACAGGCTGCGCAGAGCTCCGACCCTCCCCGCCCCAGCAACCGTCGCCCCCCTCCCGCCCACACAAGCCTGCAGGCCTCGCGGCCATAACGGCGTGGCCGCATCATGATGAGAGGCAACCTGGCGCATCTGCCAGCGCTGAATCCCCTGCCGCAGGAGATCGCGGACAAAAAAAAAAAAAAACGAGGCGACGTGACCAGGAGCGAAATCACTGGCCCCGCGTCAGGCTGGATCAGCACCGGCGAGAGCATCACCCAGCCGATCCGCTTGAGCGACAGGACGGCCACCTTGAGCGGCCCGCGTGCCGACGCCCACGTCAGCTTGTCATCGCCCGCCTCGACTCTGTCCAGCGTCGCGCGCCAGGCCTTCTCCAGAGCACTCATGGACACAGCCTGCTGCCACGCGACCGCGGCGTAGTGCATGAGCGGCTCGACGGTCGCCGCATAGACTGGGTCGTACCACGGGTCGCGCTCGCTGGCCAGGTAGAGCGCGTTGCTGCCGCCGCGCCCCTCAGCCCCAGCAAGTCGGGCCGCCTCCGAGCGCATCACGGCCAGCTCGGAGGGGGCCACGCCGCTCACAGCCGCACCGTGGGCGGCAGCAGGCAGCAGGCCCGTCTGCCACGGGCGCGCCGCGCGCCCTCCAGCAGCTCGGCGCCGCCTCGCCGCGCGCCTCAGCAGCGGCCTCACGTTCTTAAGCCTGGTCTTGACGACCGCCCTGCAGGCCTTGGTCCCGTTCAGGTCATGGCCTAGGTTCCTCATGTGCGGCTGCGAGCCCATCCTGAGTTGCTTGGCAAACGGCGCCGCTGCAGCGCGGCTCTGCCTCGACGTCGCCACGTAGCCCGACTTGAGCTCCTGCAGCAGGAGGCCAACGTCCTCGACCTCGTGCTTGAAGCGCTTGACGGCCAGCCACAGGACGCGCACGCCTCGCAGGTCCGTGCCGATCCACTGGACCGAGGTGTCGTCGGCGAGCGTGCGCGGGATAACGTCGTGCGCCGCCAGCCGCCGCAAGGCTCGCGCCGTCGCCACCACCAGCACCGCCATCGAGTGGGAGCAGCCCGCCAGGATGCCCTGGTGCGCCGCGAAGCTCTTCGACATCGAGCCGAACGCCTTGAGGCGCCTCGGCAGGTGATGGTACCTGAGGATGGCCCACATGAGGCGGAGTGGAAACCCCATGGCCCGAGCCTCGCCCAGCAGCCTGCCTCCAATCAAACGTCGAAAGCCTTCAACGCATCTAGGAGCACAGTGACGCTGTGCCCGCCATTGGTGGTCATGATCTCAGCCGTCAGGTTGTGGTGGAAAGCGGCAGCCGCCGAGGTCCTGCCAGCTCCACCAGCGCCCCAGAGATTGGGCACGTCCGCCTGGTCGAGCCAGGCACGCGATATCGTCGAACGCGCCTTCGCCCACAGACGGAGGCAGGAGTTCACCGGGGCAATCAGCCTGCATCCTCCACTCGCCTTGGGCAGGCGCACCAGCACTGTGTGCAATCTGTCAGTCGGCCACACCCCCGACCTCTCGCACTGGCTGGAAAGCGCCGACAGCACGAAGAGGCCAATGTCGCTGAGGTGCCAGAAAGCCCGCGGGGCAATGCCCGTCTGGCCCACCGCGGTGCGCTCCTTGAAACGAAGCGCAGCGCGTCGGAGGTGTCCGACGCTCATCGGCGGGAGCTCGGCCCAGTCGTCAAAGTCGGGAGGCTTCTCCAGGGCGCCCTGCTCGTGGACGGTCCACGCGCCCTTCCATCCGTCGAGCTCGCGGTCAGCCAGCTGGCGCGGGCTGGCTCGCGCGGTGGCCCCGCGGACCTCAGCCTCAGGAGGTAGCCTCGTGAAGCGGTGTGCAGCACTAGCCCCGCCCGTGAGGCTCTTGGCGGCCCACGCGCGCCACTCCTTCTCGCGCTCGCCATTGTAGCGCTTGGTGAGCCGCTCGGCCTCCGCCGCGATCTTCTCGACCTTGGCGGCCCACATCCAGCTGCTCATCTGGGCCACGCCGCCCAAGAGCCAC